ATTGGGGCTCTCCTTATCCAAACCATAACCATTTGCAGGGTAAGGCATCACAGTTATTTTAGGCAGTACCAAATGGCCTGCAGATGATGGTGACACAGCATCTTCTCTTTGGGCTCGTTATCCCTTTCAAATCAACAGAGCCTTGACTGTTCACCCAAGCTGATGACGTGGGGGACCCCAAAGTTTCCTTAAGACTCTCCACTTGGACACCATTCCTAGCAACAGCCCCTTCCTCTCTGGATGCTAGGATGCTGTCATAGGTTTTTGCATGTTTGCTTGGGGTCAGAAAGTCATACATCATAGATTCAGATGAGTTAGAATTTAGCCTAACTGCCAAGGTGGCGCATGTTGTCACCGTGCACCCTAACGGAGTAACCGTTCTCATTCATTCGTTCATTCTTGTATCTGTGCTCCCAGGTGAGCTCTCCGTGGAAGAGGCGCAAGACCCTTTCCTGGTTAGCATACACATCATCGCAGACCCCGGGGAATCCCAACCGCTGCAGGAGGCCATCGACAAGGTCTTGGCATGGATCCACCCTGACCTTCCCCTGTTCCGGGTGTCTGAGAGGCGAGCTGGGCGTCGGCGGAGGAAGCCCCCCAAGGGAGCGCAGCCAGCGCTGGCCGTGGTGCTGTTCCTGCAAGAGGAATACGGTGAGGAGCAAATCTTGCAGCTCCACCGCATGCTGCAGCGGCCACCCTGGCGCCACCACCACACGGAGCGCGTGCAGGGCAGGTTCCTGCCCTACCTGCCCTGCAGCCAGGACTTCTTCACGCTGGCCCCCGGAACCCCTCTGTGGGCCATCCGACCTGTGCACTACGGCAAGGAGATCGTGCGCTTCACCATCTACTGTCGTCACGACAGCTACGCTGACAGCCTCCAGTTGTACGAGCTGATCCTGCGCCGGAGCCCCAGCCAGAGGAAAGCGGACTTCTGCATCTTCCCCATCTTCTCCAATCTGGATGTAGACATCCAGTTCTCCCTGAAAAGACTGCCCTGTGACCAGAACCCGGTGCCCACCGACTCCTCTCTGCTGGAGTTCCGCGTCAAGGACATAGGCGAGCTGGTCCCTCTCCTGCCCAACCCCTGCAGCCCCATCAGTGAGGGTCGCTGGCAGACCGAGGACCACGACGGAAACAAGATCCTTCTGCAGGTACCCGGGGAGCTGTGTCTGTCTATCTCTCTGTCTGTCTGTCTAGGGAAACTGTGAAGCAAATCAGTTTGCCAGAAACCCTGTCCCTGTTAAAGAGCCAGCAGTTAGAGACAAGGAGAAATCAGTGGCCTTGTCTGCCCCAGACCATATCACCATGTCTGCATACTCCATCCGAACAAAAGAGGAGGATGAGGGCCTCTTCTCCATGGCTGTTTTCATTCTGCTGCAGTGGCACAGGCTCAGTAAACCTAGGCACCTCCTCCTTTGCCCCCCCCCCATTGAGCACCCACGAACTGCCCCTGGCCCCAGGGGATGTCACAAGAGGTTCTAACCTGGGGAACTTGCTATTAAAGGTTCCTGGCTCTATTCCTTCACACTTGGGGAGTTTGTACCTTGTAATCTTCACTCTGAAAAAGGAACTTCAGGAAAGCTCATGTGTTGGACAATTGTGAAGTATGTGTTGTTGCCTGGAGAAGACATCTGTTCCCTTCCTCTGTCACCTCCCCTACATTCTCCCCTCCCACCCTCCAATGCTGGCTTAGGTTGTTAAAATTCGTGATCCTGTGAAAACATGACTTCCTCCTCAACATTGAAGGTGTAAGAGATGCCTTTGGAGTTTCTACATTCACTCAGCCAGGGAAGGGTTGAGCAAACACATTTTTTAATTTGTTGTAATCAGTTACACACCACAGTAGAATGCATTTATGCACTTTGATATATCATACATAGATGGGATATAATTTCTTATTTTTCTGAATCATATTGGTGCCAATACCATGCCATTTTTGTTACTGTAGCTCTGTGGTATCTCTGGTATTGTGATGCCTCCTGCTTAACTTTTCTTGCTAAGGATTGCTTTAGCTATTCTTGGTCTCTTATTTTGAGTGAACGTTTTAAGGACAGGAGACTGACCCAGTTCTTCCATGGCCAACACCTTGGTGGCATTACTGGCTGCCTTTCTCCTCTCAGCCTTTCAGTAGGTATCCCAAATTCACTAGAAATAATTGATTATATTCAATAATGCCTAGAAATTGAAGAACTTCCTATACCTAGACTTACCTCATGAGCTCTTTCCAACTCAGGCCCTTCTTGAATTAATAGGTAAGGCAGTTCCAGTCCATAGCATTTTGTTTCTCTGAAAAACCTCTACCTCTGTCATCCCAGTCTTCATGTTTCTCTATCTGAAAAGAGAATGCTCATATGTCCACTTGGGGGACATTGCCTCCAGAGGTGCAGGTGGAGGTAGTAGAATCACAGGTAGTTTCACAGTAAGCCCCAGAACTGTACTCCTCATATGATGAGATGAAATGAGAATTTGGCACATGTCAGATGACTGGTCCAAAATGCAGCCAAGGCACATTGCTCAGGCCAGAAAGGTCACTTTGACCAAGCATGGTGGCATATAACCATAGTCCCAGCTAATCAGGAGGCTGAGGCAGAAGAATCACTTGAGCCCAGGAGATCAAGGCCATCCTGGGCAACCTGGCAAGATTCTGCCTTTAAAAAAACAAAAGTCACTTTGAGATGTTTACCCTTTATAGGAATCAGATAATTTTCAGATTTCCTCTTGAAGAAACTAAGTAATGTTGCTTTATTATTGAGTAAACTGATTTGTACCATTGGGTCTATAATCCCCTTTGAAATGTGAGAAAATTTTTCATCTGCACTCACAGACTGCCAATTCTTTATGCAAAATATAATACAGTAGCACCAAGTAAAAGCTAATGAGATGCAAAGGATTATGTTTATACGAAAAGACCAAAATGAATGTGATTATTTCTGAAGTGATTTCTTCCTTTTTGTAGTAATGAGAGGGTTTTTTTTCTCTTGATCCTTCTAATAACATAAATGAAAGAACAAAGTATGAAAGCATGGCCTGGGCTTAACTTAAAGGAAACAATGAAAGAATATTTCAAAGAAGATCTATGCATTTAAATAGCTATAAAATCTATACATGTGCAGGCTTTTGAAGTTAGGGGGTCATTCAGAGAGTAAGAAAAAAGATTTGTATCTTGGGACTCAAGACTGCAGACCTTTGTTCAAAGTAGTAGTATGTTGAGTGGTAGTATGTCAAATTAACGTGGACAGAAATGACAAATGGCCCCTTCACAATTCTTGATAATAGCCATTATAATAGGATTGCTGTTCATTTGCATGTTTACAGAGAGCAGCCTTCTATTTCACCATGGGATATACACATATCCATCTCCTTAAGTTACTTTTCAAAGTAAAAAATTTATATTTCAGTCTTCAGCAAAGTCAAGATATTTAGGTCATGGGGTAGAATACCTTTTGATCCACATTTTCTTTAGCATTCTATGTTCCCTAAGTCTATGTTCAATTATAATGTTTAACATAAAAATTTTGCTCAATTGGATGCAGTTATACACTGAAAAAAAAATATCTCAAGTGAGTAGTTTTTCCTTGCCTTGTTAAAATCTAGATTGTATTTTACTTTCTCCCCCTGCTGCATTGACTTACATTCCATATACCAGAGACTTCCTCCTCCCCTTTTAATTGTTGTAAAAGAGAAAATCTGAGATTTTTTTTTTTTTTTTGGAAGCCATTCAGCCTCTTTTGAGAATTAGGAGATGTCTTTTACTAGGATCAGATAAGAAAGGGAGAAAACTGTTCTTCTGAAACTCAGCTTCCTTCCTTCTTGGCATTGGTCTTCCTTCTTGCCTGGTCCAGAGGGAAGATGGGGAGGGCTTGCATGATATCCAAATTTGCATGGATGCTCGATGATACTAAACCACGGCTATGTGGAGTCAAAGGCTGTAATGAATCTTTCCACCTCCCATCCAACTGAACCAATGTTGTAATATGAAGCCCATAAGTTCTCTATGTTTTTATTTTCTTTTGATTGAAGACTATAAGTAAGACACATACTGAAAAGTGCACAAGTCATAAACATACAGCTCAATGAATTATCACAAACCAAATATTTGCACAGGCAGCACAAAGTTAAAGAAAAAGAACAGAGACTAAAACTGAAGAAAAGATCTCTTTCCCTACTTCCAGGCTTCCCTCCCTTTGAATGAACATGTTACTACTCCCTAAAGTACAAAAGGGAGAGGTAGAAGTATCTAATTTTTAAAAATAGCTTGGGAATATCTTATCTTTTTTTTGCATTTGTTAATAGATCTCACACTTTAAAAGCAATTTAATATGGCTGATAAAAATATATGCTACACAAAAAGATTAATAAAAATGAATACAGAAGAACTTGAAGTAAAGGGTAAATGTCAATAGGAAAATAAGATAAAGCCAGTGTGATATCCAAAATGCATGTCATTTCCTATATTCTTTCTAGAGTCATACCCTTTGTTGGTAGCCACCAGCCACATGTGGCTGCTGGAATTTAAATTTTAAGTTAAATTTAAAATGCCATTTCCTAGTCAACCCAGATACATTTCAAGTGCTCAGCAGCCACATGTGTCTAATGGTTACCACATTAAATAGTGCAGATACAGAAAATTTCCAACTCGGCAGAAAGTTCTGTTTGAGAGTGTTGTTCCTGAAACAGGCTCCAAATTTGACTTGGAGTTTTCTGCAACAAAAGAAAAATGGAAAATCATTAATGATTTGATGCAGAGTCTATAGGGGAGAACAAAACCAACCCTTTTAAATGTACGGGCATCCTTGGTTCTGGGTTCTGGAAGTAAAGCCCCCCTATTTTCTCATGGTCACAGTGGTGCCGACAGCCTGTCCTCAACTGCTCCCCTAGAATCACCATAACAGGGGCTCACGAAGCTCTTATATGTGGTGTCCCAGTGCAGGCCAGGCCTGTCAGCCAAGGCAATTCATAAAAGCCACTGCACAGAGGGAGCCTGGGCTAAACAAGGTAGTCCTTGTCTATGGCTCCTGCTGGTTTTGCCAAGTCCCAGAGGAAGGAATGCACCTTCAGATAATCCCCCAAAGCTTGTTTCCATGCTAACAAGTAACAGTCAGTTTGCCTTTCTGTTCTCAACCAAGTGCCTGAAGAACACCTGTCCCCTGAAGGTAAAGGACAGTCAAATGTACTACACTCATTCAAGCTGGATTGTGCACTGTCATATCTGAAAAGACTGACAAGGACACAACCCAAATGGAAATCTACTCACTGCCAATAAGAAGCAATCCCAGGGAACTGGAGACTATCATGCTAAGTGAATTAGCCGATCCCAAAAAAACAAAGCCTGAATGTTTTCTCTGATATGTGGATGTTAATTCACAATAAGGGGTATAGGGATGATTAGGGGAGAATAGAAGTACTTTGGATTAGACAAAGAGAGATGAAGGGAAGGGAAGGGGAATGGGAACAGGAAAGAGAGCAGAATGAATTGGACATTACTATCCTATGTGCATGTATGAATACACAACCAATGTAATTCTATGTCATTACAACCAGAAGAACGAGAAGTTATATTCCATACATGTATAATATGTCAAAATATTCAACTACCATGGATAACTAATTAGAACAAATAAAAAAAGAAACAATTCCAGGTCTATTCAGGCATATAGACAAAAACACAGCTGAGAACCCAAGGCTCAAACCCACAGTGAGAACAAGGCTGCAATTTTAGGCTAGAAAATCTTGAAAGCAGGTTGTTTAGATAAGCAAGGAAATGAATAATGGTGCCTAAGTTCTACCGACTACTTCTATAGATGACAGTCACTGCGGTTCTCCTTTGCCAAGTCCCAGAGGGAGGACTGCACCTTCAGATAATCCCAAAGCTTTTTCTCTGAGTTCTCCTAAGGCCAAAGGAGAAGTGGCCTTCAACAGAAGGTTTCAAGTAAGATTGCAAAGGGACAATGACTTGACACCAGGACTTATTACCAGTTGAAATGAGCTCCTACGTAGAGCCATGGGACTGTCTCTAAGATCTAGAAGAGAACTCCTAAGATCTCATCCACATCAGCTGGTTTACTCTTCTTTATGCACCAAGGCAATTGACTGGCCAATCCATCCTGGAATGTTGGGGACACCAATTCTATGAGACAGATGCCACTGAGGA